TTGGGTTTGGGCTCCAAAGGGTACCAATAGTTTTTGAAAAGGGGGAAACATATTATTGGATTTCGTTGTCGTCCGTCTAGCCTGCTCGGCTCGTGCCCGGTCCGTATACGAGTGCGTCCTTGTACTATATTATCTTTTTGGACAAAATTTGTTTAATTTTGGATCAAATTGTAATTAATCAAATTCTTGGGTATTTAATTAATTTTTTTAATGGTTCATTTTCGGGTAATTTTTTGTTCGGATGGTCTGTTAATTGACTAAACAGTCAACTGTTAACCGAACATTGTTGTCTGTTCGGGTTTCGGGGGTTGTTTGAACAGTGACGACTGTTCTGAAATGGTTTGAATGTTGTTCGAATGGTCACGAAGAAGTGTATAAAAAGTCTGCCCCGATGCCAGAAAAAATACACCATTTTCATTGCAATCATTATCTGCTTTGAATCTCACTCCCCTCTCTCATTCTCATATTGTTCTAAAAGTGAAAAAACATTTCATTGAGTTCGTTGGAACTCCTGCAAATTGTCGTTCTGCTTCCCTGTGAGACGAAATTCGTTCTATCCTGGGAAACGATTGTTGAATACATTTAGCACTTGTGAAGGCAGCAAATTTGTTTTAAGAAAACATCATGAACTCGGTGGACTCAAATTAATACTATGATCCTATTGATCAAACTGGTTACACTGTCCAATTACTTCAAAGTAATTATGTCATAATATTCGAAGGAGACTTTTATATTCCAGAATAACAATGATCAACAATACCATGGAGAATTAAACACATTGGTAAAGTTGGGAAGGAACTCAATTGGATTCGCTGATTTCAACACTATTTGATTCATGGATTTAGATTTTAATTTTAAACAATTCTATGGTTTAGATCTTTTTTTCATAAAAGTATTTTGAGATTGGCTAGATTTTTATTAAATTCTTCATAAATTTAGTCACGCTTTCTCTATTGACCGATTGAAATACTCGTTTAAATTTTAATCTTATTTATCTATTTTTATTAGTTTGATTCATTACTACTTTATTCTTCAAGTATATGATTGTTTTTTAATTTTATTTAGTAAATGAAAGTATGAATGCTATGGCATGAGAGTTAATATTTAGAATTACAATTAAATTAAACTGATTTCAACTATTAGTAAATTAACAAAAATGGAGATATTAAGCAGTGATTGTTTGATAAAGAACAACAATGCTCAATTTTTTATTTTTTTCATATACTGATTGATTAGATACTTTATTGTGGAAAAATAGAATTTAATTATTTTCTGTATTGACAAGATTTTTTTTTTTGAAATAATACAGGTGTTTTAGAACTTTCTATTTGTAGCATGCTTTACACAAATAAATAAATAAAATCATTTTGCTTTAATTTTCTTGATCCTACATTCAAACTCTTTTACCTTTCTTCGGTGTTCCTCAATAACCAAAAATTGTAGAGCAACAAAAAATTAACATTAAGGTCATGTTTGATTGAGTTTTTTTTTCCAGATATTTTCAATTTTCCTACTTTTGTGCTGTTTGACGGCACAAATTTTCCAAGGAAAATGTTTTCCCTCCCACTCCTCCACGCGCCCATTTTTCACTTTTTGGCTAAAAATATTTTCCCTTCATTTTGGTGGGAAAATGAATTCCAAGTCTGGCCACGTTTTTTTTTTTGTAATGGTAATAAATTTTATCGCCAATTGTAAAAAAAAAAAATTCACTTTAATGGATAATTGTCATGTAAAATGAAGTCAAACGAATGCTAAACTTTGATAAAAAATGGTCAAAAAATAATTTTCGAGCAAACTTTTTTTTTTTACTTTTTGACAATGGTAACAAATTTCATAACCAATTGTAAAAAAAAAAAATTATTTCAATAAACAATTTTCATGTAAAATAAAGTCAAACGTGAATAAAAAAATCCAAAATTTTAAAAATTTTCCGGGTGGAAAATTATACCAATCAAACACACTTGAAATCATTTTCCCTGCAAAACATTTTCTAAACAAATCTTTTCCCTGTAA